CATTTTCCCCTTTAATCCACCCTTATTCTTAAACAAACCTGTCCCAAACCTTAACTGTATCCCACTCCAATAGCAGTAAGAGTGTTTTATAATACAACATAAACACAATAAGTACATGATTGTACCTTACTTTTATTTATTTATTTATTTTTTGTACATAAGTACATCGTAGTTAAAAACACCTTTGAAATGCTTGTGTTTGATGGTAATGATTCAGTTATGTGGACACTGCCTCTTCATTTTTATTCTAGGACCATAGCACTGACACATTAAACCAAACTATTAAGATTCTAATCTAATGACACTTTGATTAATGTTTTACCGTTTTTCTCGATTGCTAACACACTATAACTGATTCATTTGGCCAAATTTTCCAAACCATTCATACAGTTCTCAAAACAAAGACACGTTTCTCAAAACTTTTAACACATTTCACCTGTTTGCACACTCGTTCCATTTTTTTTTCAGTGTTTTCTGCAAAAGTCTACACAAAAACGCCATCATTTTGCACAGGTTTAACCATGTTCTCATTCCGAAAATACAAACACACAATACAATTAACTCAAGCATCAAAAAATAAACTCAAACAGCACACATTTATCCATGTGTGAACATTCAGTAGCAAAACTGATGACACACCAGTCAGAATCTTAAGAAGATATGCACAGGAGCACAAGTGATTATGAGTTTTGGAAAATGAATCCTGGTAGTGGGAAACAAAGAGGAATAGGAGGGGAAAATAAAAGCACAATATAATTACAGTACATAGTAGCAGTACTTCAGATGAGAGAATGTTCATTATTCTATGTACAGTAAATACTGTAGTAGATGTTGTACACCCTCAAACTCATTACTGTTGAATAGATTTTTAGCCAAGTATTTACTGTATTTGTGCAGAACTGAGAGATGATCGTCTAGGGGAGGCAGAGAAGTCTTTTGTCAGAAGACTTAGAAACTGCTATACAGTTTTTCTCGATTGCTTAAACACATTTCTTGAAATTGTGACTCCTTTTCTTGAAACTCTAAACACAAATCCATAACTTCTCACTCAATTCCCCATACTTCCTTTTTTCAGATCAAAATGAAGCTCTCCACTCAAAACTATTCAATCTTGCTGAAAAAAAAAACAAACGTTGCCCTCAGACATGACACACAAGCCCTCAGAAACACACACACAACAACATAGTCTTACACACTAATGAGATCAATTCATAACACTGTTGCAAAAACCTTCTTTTGGCAATCAGGTATAATTTTACAGCTCAATGTCTATTACAGTATACAACATAATTAGAGCAGATACATGTTACAGTAAATATAGCAGATACAGTGAAATTAAACAATAAGCTTTACAGTAAGAAAATGTTATTTTCATTACACTGCTGTAAAGAGACCTTACAGTACAGTAGATGAAAAGCACTAGAAAGGAAAATGTCAAATACCAAAGAATTGCATATGAACACAACAGAATACAGAGTCATCTCTTAGTTCTGCAAAAATACAGTACATGTAAAAAGTACTGTAATTGGCTACAAATCAGTTCAGCAGTTATGAGTTTGAGGGTGTACAACTTGTTCTTCAGGATTTACTGTACATATACAGTATATAAAAAGTAAAAGTTCTCTCATCTGAAGTACTGCTACTGTTCTGTCATTATATTTGATCTGTAAGTAGTATTGAAAGCCTGTAGATGAGCCTGTAGGCCAGCTGTCCTCATGCACAAGAACATGATCAACTATAGTGCTGTGTATTTCATCAGGAATAAATGTCCTTTGACCCCGTCCCCTTCAGTTCTTTTCTTTTCCCCTTGTCTCCCACTAGTAGGATCATTTTCCAAATCACATAATCACCTGTGCTCCTTTTTATATCATCCTGAGATTCTGACTGGTGTGTCATCAGTTTTGCTACTTAATGTACACACATGGATAAATATGTGCTATTTGTGTTCATTTTGTGATTCTTGAGGTAGTTATATTGTGAGTTTGTGTTTTCTAAATGAGAACATGGTTAAACCTGTGCAAAATGATGCCGTTCTTGTGTAGAGTTTAGCTGAAAACACTGAGCAAATTGGAGCGTGTGTGAAAACAAGTGAAATATGTTAAAAGTTTTGAGAAACGTGTCTTTGTTTCAGGAACTGTATGAACGGTTGGAAAATTGTGCCAAACGAATCAGTTATAGTGTGTTAGCAATTGAGAAAAACTGTAACAAATAAGGATTTTACCAATACTGTAATGCAATTTGGCAGAGGATGCTGAATTAATGAATGAATTCATTCATTCATTCATTCATTATTTATTTCTGTAAAGTAACTGACAGTATTCTCCAATGTGTGTTTACTCAGTGTGTATATTCAGTTGTTTGGTCTTTGAACTTTTCTCTTGTAGTGCTTTTCATTTACTGTAAGATCTCTTTACAGTAGTGTAATGACAGTAAACTTTTCTTAATGTTTATTGCTACATTTTATTGTATCTGGACCCCTCAATTTATGTCGTATACTGTAATAGTCATTGACTAGCAAAATGATTCCTATTTCCCAAAAGGAGGTTTTTGTAACAGTGTTTTGAGTTGATCTCACTAGTGTTCTCTAGGCAGGAAAATAGTCTGTGTATTTGGCATGTTTGTGTGTCATCTGAGGCCAAAGTTTGAGTCTGACAAAAGAGAACATGTTTTTGACTAAAGTATTTGATTTTGACCTGGAAGTTTGAAGTTTGCACAAGTTGGTGTGTAGTTTTGAGATTGTGTTCATAGTTGTGAGAAAATTGTGAATTGTTTCATGAATTGTGTGTTAGCAAACGAGAAAAACTGTGATAAAGGCTTTGGTAGACAGCAGAGAGTTTCCTTAAAGAAATAGTTTACCCATTCATTTACTCATCCTCATGCCCTTCCGTAAGCAAAAAATTTCAGTTTTAATTTTAATTGACATCAGTGTTGCTATTGTAAATGAAAAGCATTAAAAATAGTTTGTGTTAATTGAAATAAAATATAAACATTAGATGAAAAACTTAAACACAAATTAGAAATGTTGGCCTGGCAACATTGGTTTAAGTACTAAAATGACTAAAACAAAACCTGAAAGCTAAACAGAAATAACAAACAAAAACATGTTTTAAAATAATTGTCACAGAGATTTTCTTTTGACACACAACAATCCATAGAGACCAATGCAAGCACCACTAAAGCATATGAAGTTATCTGTAGTCATACAATACCTTTGTGTGATGAACAGATCAAAATTTCAGTTTTAATTTTAATTGACATCAGTGTTGCTATTGTAAATGAAAAGCATTAAAAATAGTTTGTGTTAATTGAAATAAAATATAAACATTAGATGAAAAACTTAAACACAAATTAGAAATGTTGGCCTGGCAACATTGGTTTAAGTACTAAAATGACTAAAACAAAACCTGAAAGCTAAACAGAAATAACAAACAAAAACAATTAAAATGACAAAAGCTAACCTAAATTAAACATAAAAGCCAATTTAAAATATTAATAAATACTAGTATATAATAATACTAAAATAACACTGATTTACAGTTGATTAAATCAACCAGTTTCCCTTCTACCTCTCATTGCAAAAACACTTGAACGAGTTGTGTTCAACCAAGTCTCTGCCTTTCTCACACAGAACAACCTCCTGGACAGCAACCAATCTGGCTTCAGAAGTGGACATTCGACCGAGACTGCCTTGCTTTCAGTTGTTGAAGCCCTAAGACTGTCAAGAGCGGCTTCCAAATCTTATACTTCAGAGTTATGTGCCCTCTAGAAGCTTGCGTTCTGCAAGTAAACGACGCATTATTGTGCCATCTCAAAGAGGCACAACATCACTTTCACAGACTTTTACATGAACTGTTCCCTCCAGTTGCCCAACTCAAGTTGTTTCTGTGGCTCAGTGGTAGAGCATTGTGTTAGTAGTGCAAAAGGTTGTGGGTTCAATTCCCAGGGAGCATGCTTGCTGGTAAAAAATGTATAGCCTGAATGCACTGTAAGTTGCTTTGGATAAAAGTCTCTGCTAAATGTGTACATTTTTATTAATTATTATAAATTAACTCAATCCGAGCAGCTGAGTCCTTAGCCATCTTCAAGAAATGACTAAAAACACATCTGTTCCATCTTTATTTGACCCTCTAACTCTAGCACTTTCTATTCTATTTTAATTCTACTTCATCTATTTATCTTCTTTTTTTATTAAAAAAACAAAACAAAAAACACTAGCTTTCTATTTTTTCTATTCTATCTACTTGATTTTCTTTGTGTGTGTGTGTGTGTGTGTGTGTGTGTGAGTGTATGTATATGTGTGTGTATAATATATATATATATCTTGCTACATGTACTGCGTTAGGCTAACCAAGACTTGTCATTTGCACTTATATATTGTTGCTCTTTTGTTAGTTTTGACTGCTCTTATTGTCCTCTTTTGTAAGTCGCTTTGGATAAAAGCGTCTGCTAAATGACTAAATGTAAATGCAATGTAAATGATTAAACACTGATAATCTAAACCTCCACTATCTAACCTTTGCAGCTTTGACGTTTTGATGTTTTGTTATTAGAATCTCAAGAACAAATGCTAATAAATTTTTCAGTGAACTTATCTATTCCTAGCTCAAACGAATGACAGAATATAGTTCACTCTGTTTTTGCAATAAGATAGCTGGGCATGTTTGTATTGGTTTGTTTTGTTTTGATCGGTTGTAATAGCAATTTCAAAGGTCTCCGTTGTATTCGTGTCATGCCATGTGTTGTCTTGTTGCCATGGAGACTTCATGAGAGACTGCAGAGCATAAGGGCATGGACCCTCAAGATAGGGGGCTGGTCTCTGTTTGTGAATCTTGAATGTTTTTTAATGAACTGAAATTGGATCATCAAAGTGTGAAATGCACAGGCCTAATTATGTGTCAACCTGCTTGTTTGCACACACTGTATGCTCCTGATGTCGAAAAATGCCCTTCTCTGATTGGTCAGTTGATAGCAGAAAGAGCTATCAGTTATGGTAAAAGACATCACATGCACACTAATACAGGACATAAGAGAGAGTTATAAGACATAGGACATCTCCAGCCTCTATCTATACCCCCCACTCCCAGAGAAAAACAGGATGAAAAAGAGTACAAAAAAATAAATGGAAAGGCTTCCTAGCCACAGAGCCCATTAAAACAGCTCTGTTGCCCATAGGCAAGCTTTCCTAGATAGAAAAAAGGGTTTGAGTATCTTTAAAAATGCCTCTTATCACAGTTGCTATTGTGTATTTTGCACCTACGGACAAAGAGGGAGGAAAGTGGAGAGAGGAAGAGAGTGAAAGACTTTGCAGGAGGATGAATTTTGCAGCAAAAGTGACCTTGATACTGTCAGTTGACCTTGTGACAGTGATTTATTTAACCAAAAAAAAAAAAAAAAGAAACACATTACAGG